TAACTATGTATTAGAATAGGCCAAGCATAGTTAAATAGTTCGTTTGTTGTGGGGGAGTCCTGATAGGAAAAATCCATATAAAACCCTTTGATAATGACTCTTTTAGGCTTTGAGTGTCGAATTAAATGTTAGGACACATTTTCTACGCCTATTCTAAATAAATTGTCTGACCACTGCACTGCATTAGTGAGCGCGATTCGTACGCTAACTGCTGTTGTTAGGGGACGTGTTTGTGTGCGTCACTTCTCTACAGTCCGGTCTTGGAGGCAGGCGTTTTTCCTTGTGTCTCGCCGATTGACCGTTATACAGACAAGATTCCTTATTCTCTTTTTTATTTACAATGGGTGAGTTTTCTTAGGGACTTTTTAATGGAATATTTGCGTTCATAGTGTCTGTGATGTAGGTAAGTAAGGTCAGCAGCTGGATAATGCGAATCTGTTTTCCTACGATTCTTGCCAAGGAAGGTGGCGAAAGGAGCTCCAGATCGGAATGCACTTTCGGTTGACATTTCTCGCAGAATGCTTTGAAATGGCCTTTTAAACCTTTTCAATTCAATCAATCTACATATCTGGAGTGGGTTTGTAGTATTGATAACTCTATATTATTAATTATTTGCTAGTATTCGGTATCAGAACTTGGTAAGTCTCTGAATTGTTTTGAACGACAAGAAGCTTATGGGCAGACATGACGTCATGTCCGCTGTTGCTAGGTGATTTCGTAACCACAACAAGCTTCGACTGTCGTATTGTTTTCATAACATATTTCAGTAGGTCTTGGTTTTGACTTCATCGCCGATCCCTTATTTTCTTCGTTAGAAGGAACGGTAAATAATGGGGATCTGTCTAACCTTTGCCACAGAACTGAATCCAGGAACTCTTCGAGTTAATGATCTAGTGCTCACTCTAGGAAACAAAAAGGATTCTAGGATTGAGGTAACCAACCTTCATGGTTTGGAATAACCTAAAATATATCTGAGCATTTGGAGGAAGTAAGGACCTTGATTAAATAGGTACGTTGAGTACGGTTCGCTCATGTCTGTTACTTTACGTTTTTCAGGATTTTCTGAAGATCCAACAAGTGTCTGTGTATAATAGTGTGGTCCCAACTGCTGCGATCCAGTAAGCGATTTATGAAGGCTAAATTGCTATGTTGAAGTTGCGGACAACGCTTGAGCCGAAGTCTTTCGATTGTAAGTTGATTATCTTAAATCAACACCAGTAGCTGATTCGTTCCGGTGAAGAGAGTTGACGTTCCTTGATCAACGCCAGAAGCTGATTCGTTCATGTGTGGTCGTACTGGGAAGTACGGCAAAGAGAGTTTCCTTTCCGGCATCCGGAGAAGCTGATTCTTTCCTGTGTAACCGTGCAGTAAAGTACGGTATTACTCCACTCTGAGACGCTGAGGAGCTACGAGATCTGATCAGATAAGTGACGTGGCAGACTAAGATAACTCGTCTCCAAATGTACCTTCATGGTCATGTTTCCTCCTTCGTCTATTTAGACTAACTCTTTCTCTTGTGTTAGATTTCAAAGTTGTGATCGTTCCCTTTATTTCTTCGCTACGGTTTTCATTAACTTTGTTATAGTAAATTAATTACAATCGTGTTGAAATTCAGTAGTCTTCTAGTTGATAGAAAAGTTTCGTGTTACTGAATTTTATTGTCTTATTCAGAGAGGCAGTGTTGTCTTGTCAAATTCGCTGTTGATTATTTGTTCGACTGGACTTATTTTGTTCCAGTCTGGGGGCAATTAGTGGTGAGGACGTCTGGCCGAGAGGTACCCAAGTGTTCATAATAACACTGTGGAGTCAGAGCTCGTGTCACCTCATCCCTGAGACAGGTTGAATGGAAAGTTTGAACCGAGGGTTAGGCCTCTAGACGAACGAGAGCCACCATTCAAAACACTCCGGTCTCAGAGCACCTGAGGGATTTATGAAAATATCCTGTAAGTAAGGTGCGCGACAAAACTGCCATACGACACAGAGTTGGGTGAGACAGTGCTTAATTAATTCCTAATAACAAGTAGAATGTATATGAAAGGGAGTGTATGTGTGTTATCGGGGATAATAGGATTAGGTCAACGTGTTCAGAGTTAATTATAATGGTGTATTGGAAGTGTTAATATTTAGGGTATAAGCTATGAGAAGGTATTTCTGTTGTACGTGAGAATGCATTCTCTGTTAGAACAGAGGAATTTAATTAAAAGACCCGATTGTGGTCAGGCTATATAATTAAGAAGTAGAGTCAGTTGATTAGGAGAGTTGAGATTTGGCTAACCGTCCAGGCCGGACGTTTTCCCGCGGGTTTGCGGAAAGACTGCGATCTGATCTCTTTATGAGGATGCTGAAGTAACGTTTCTGTTAGCGAGGATTTTGCCTTACCGCAGTTAGCGGGAGACTGTTTGATGACTGTTTTAGTTACGGATGGCATGAGTTCGTTGAGTGGAGTGTTTTATTGGTTAAAATCGCCAGTCAAGATTACAGGGACCTATTATCGTATGTACATTATCATCATCATCTTCTGACCTGTTAATTTACGTGAATGATATTAAAGTTTATGCGGCCTGAGCTCATTTATTACTTTAGATCTCTAGTAAAAGTAAAGATCCCTTCTCACGCCTTAGACGCATCGGGAGTATGGGAAGAGCGTCCCATATTTTTACAGACCAATCGGCACTGGGTGGGTAATGTGGTCAGCATTACGCCGGCCATACAGGACAGCCATCCTGGTACCCATTTTAGGCTGGGTCGACCTGCGACACCTCATACCATGATAAAAAATGCCCTCAGATCTCTGGACCCAAATATTATTTCGTTCAATACAACTTCATGAGACAGACAGATCAAGTCAACATGCAACGACCAACAGGAACATTCAACATGCCAGATAAATGAAACATTTATGAGAAGACAACTCTTATTTTGACAAATGTTTATTCATGTGAATAGTAATATGCAGTCGCCGAAATGAGTATCATTGTTGTAGAAAAGATAAAAACAAAGGCATAAAACAAGCCCACGTCTGTGTGCATGAAACACATTATAATTTAACAGCAAAGTTTCTGCTTCACAGAACGTTCTACAGGCAAGGGAAAAATAGGCGAATTTTTAATTAGACTGCAACAAGTAGGGGAACTCTTCCTTGGCTTATGAGACAGTGAAGGAACAGGTAAGGAACGCCCAAAATACAGTCTTATCAGTTCATTTATTTATTATGCACAATGAATTATTGACTTGTAAAGAATCCTTAATTTCCTTTATATTTCATTTGAGTTTACCCCTTAATAGGGCAATGCCATGTATTTTGAGGTCTACAGCTAAGCTGTGTTATCTTACGTCTTCTGGGCAAAGACATCCGATTTCAGCAAATCTTTAAGTAGTCACATTTTTCGACATACTTGTAACGGAGGAGGGAGACTATTCTGTCATTCCTCAAAAAGGGGTACAGATGAGTTTTTCACTTGAAGTCCGTGTTTTATCTATACATTGTAATATTTACATTTTTGTACTATGGTTTTGTTGGTGTCTGTGGGTTAAGCGTTCCAAACGCACTTAGTAATGTCGGGGTGCCAGCAGTACAGATGATTTGTCTTGTGTTGGTTTCGACTCCGCTACCAAGAGCAGAAAGCAGTGACAAACTGCCTTAAATTGCCTAGAGCAGCCACAACAGCCACACAAAAACTTTGCTGGGGATGTTTCTGCAATCATCCTGTAAAGTTGATACACAACAAACTTGACTTCTGGTATTGGGGTAGTAACAAAAACATTATCATCATCATCAGTTACCTTGTCGACTGACGTGGGCGATTATGCCTCTCCATAATCCACGATCTCCTGCAGCATGTATCAGTTCGTGTGCCGACACACCTCCATGCCATGCAACAAGACTGTCAAGCATCTTCTCTCGTTGTCTTCCTCTATCCCTCCTTTCACAGATCTTTCCAGTGGTCACATGTTATATTTTCCCTCTTCTCATAACATGGCCGAAAACTGATGACTGTCTCCTTCTGATGTCTGTGATAAGTTGTCTTCGGGCTCCCGCCTCTTTCAAAACCTCTTGGTTGTTCTTTTTGGCTGTCCAAGGTATTCTAAGCATTCTTCTGAAAAACCACATCTCTGAGGCCTCAAGAAGTTGTTTGGCCTGCCTACCGATTGTCCAGGACTTACAGCCATATGTTAAACCTGGATGAATGTAGCAAGCAAGAATTCTTTTTCAAACTCTCAATGACAAGGATATATTGCACAAGATATTCTTCATTTTATAAAATACAGTTTTTGCCTGTCCTATTCTGTTTCTTATCTCAGTTATGCATCTTCCATCTGATGTTTTCCATCTGCCAAGATACTTAAATTTCTGTACTCGTCCTAAAATAACACCATCGACTTTTATTACACATTTAGGAATAATTCGGTTTTTTGATACCACCATTACGCCTGTCTTCCCATTATTCAAACAGGCCCATTCTTCCACTTTCTAACACCACAATGTCTATCATTTCCTGTAGTTCTTTCTGACTTGTTGCTATCAAGTCTTTGTCATCAGCAGAATGTAAATTGTTTATATTGTGCCCACCAACCACAATTGCGGGCATATCAATTAAAGATCTCATTATATATTCACTGTACATTGAAAACAAATCAGGTGACAGTACACATCCTGTTGATAGTACAGAAACATACGAAACGATATCTGCTGGTATTAGCTGTCATTGGTTTCTGCTATTCAAAGTATATGTGCTTGTTTATCATGCTTGCCGTACCTTGCTGATAACTCAAATTCAAGGAAAGCTGTGTGCCATGAAATCACCCACAGTTGACTAGCATGTCAGTTAAACTGTGTTTACATGCAGCTTACAAGAGTCATTATTATGATAGTCATCAATGAAAATACAGCGACTTTTACATACTTAATCAGTTTGGGCATTGATAATTAACCTAATGAAATTTTTAGCAGAATTAAAAAAATTAAAAAAAATTAAATATTTACAATGTAGGTGTGACTATCAGCTGATCTCATCGTGGGATGTTGCAAAATAGTTGGGATGCAGTGCTGGGATGGCTCGCCTTTGTCCTTCTCTATAGTGAGAACTATTGTTACTGTAACAGCTTCCTGAAGATGGTCTCCTTCTAGTCGGTTTATCGTCTTCATTGTCTGCGTTTTGACTGCTGCTGTTCTTGCGTTTTAGGGGAGATAATTCATCATGATCAATGTCTGCATAGTCGGATGGTTTGTCGTCTGCTCTTTCTGAATTACACCGAAGCGGCCTCAATGGCAATGTCTGCGGGCACTTATCGCCGTAGTAACCATCTATAAACATCGGAGGACAAGGTGCTGGAGGGTCCTCGTGAGCTTGTGACAGGCAAACGGACCCCGAATCACTGTATCCTCTAATAACCGTTTGACCACTTTTATCCCTAGATACATCACCAAGTGCCTGGTGCTCCCCAAGAACAACGGGGTCGTGATATCCTGTATACCCACTCTGATCACTACAGTGATCACCACCACAGTCACAAAACTCACACTCGGAAAGAGAAGTGCCTCGACCTCGAGCTCGTTCTCTGATAGAGTCCGTGTCGCCAATGGATTCATACACTGGCGACCTGTCGCTGTTGGTGACACTCGAAGAGCTGTAGGTTCCGTCAAACTTGCGGTAATGACTCGGGCCGTATCTCGAGTGCTGGGGAACAACAAGCGACGACGTGTGGGCAGGAACCTGGCCGTACGGGGTGATGATTAGACACGGTTGTTGAAACTGATGATGTCGGGAGCGATGGTAGTTGATCTGTTGACAGTTTCGCTGTGGGTACGATCCTGGATGGTAGTGTCCATTGGTGGCGTTTGATCCCGAGGGTATCACTGACGTATGTGCTCTGTCTCCACTCAGTGTCGTCTGAAAACAATAACATGTAAAATTACTATGATGGTTAGTAAATGTATGTCTTTCTGGTGTAGCAATTGTTCCGAACATAGTAGTGTTACAATTTCTTTAGGGTAAACAAGGCCGGCTGAAAGAGGGATCATGCTGCATAGGCAACACATAGTCTCTACAATACTGACCCGGACTTTATGTGGTGGAGCAGCGGAGGACTTTCAACTCAGACTTTACTGGCTGCAACTCTCATTCTTTTTTACAACACAATAAAACACATTCATCTGGAAAGACGGAAAGATTCCGACCCTCTTCTCAATTAAAAAACAAACCACAAATTTTCTCGTCATTAAGCGAACTATGCATATGGTACTAGCCCAATATTTTTCTACCAATTGGTATTCGATGGAAGAAGTATTCGACATGATAGCGGTCGTTTTCAAAATATTATTAAGTAAAGAAGGCTTGTCGCGGATTGGGTGTACTATAGCCTTTCAAAATTCGGCATAGTGATGTTCTGCCAACACAATCAAATACGTCTCTGGGTTAGTATTTGATCGAAGCTGCTTCTTCTAGGTCTAAAACATCAAACTTGGCGTCTTTTATTCACAGGATAATTTTTTTTTTACTTACAATGTTAGACCAATTATTTTATAATGGTCATTTGTAGGGATGTATGTTAATACAATTGTAGACTTCAAGTTAAAAAAAAACCATGGTTGCCATGGCAACAGCCGCCATCTTGATGAAAAAACAACATGATTGATTGATTGATTGATTTGATTCAAGAACCGACATCACAGCACCCGGGGCATTCCCATAAGCGCTCCGTCTCCATCTTCAGCAGCCAGCAAAGAGTTCCGATACTAATGGTGCCAGTAGCTTTCTGATTAAATGTCCGTCTTGCCTTTCCTCTGAGCCTTGAGCTTCTGCCAGAACCTCTCGTCACCCCCAACTGCACCAATATCACTAAACTGTGGTGATCCATCTGCTCCTCCGCATTGTACACACTCTCCCACAAGGCACTAACCACGTCTGCCCTATCATGTAGCAGTATTCCACCAAGTTGTGCAGAGCCAGCCAGTCTGTCCGCCTGTTCATTTCCCAACACACCGGCGTGACCCGGTGAAAAAACCCAGACAATACTCCTCACTCGTGTCCTCCGCAGCGAGGCATGCCACTCTGCACGAAGAATACCTGTTCTGATCTTCCTCAGCATGCTTTCTGAATCAGTTACAATTACAATATGTGTGTGTGTCGTGTTCTCTAGCCAGCGGAAAGCTGCAGTGACCGCCTCCACCTCCATTCTTAAGCTGGATGTTGTGGTATCATATGCTAGGCTCTGCTGCACCAAACGTCGACCATTAACCTTTGCTAAAAAGCCCCAAGCACTTCTTCGCCTCTTGACACTGAACCGTCTCTGTAAATGACCAAATCCTCTGAGCGAGCATTATCTTGAATTAATTGCTGAATTTCCACCTCTGTGGCACCTGCTGGCCAGTCTCTGCATTCCCGGCTCAGCGTGATTATGACTCTACACAAGTCTGACTGCTCAGGTGGCACTTTGACCCACCCCTCTCCTCGCCTAATGTTCTCAAGGATGCAAAACTGTCTGATTATGTATTCTGCCTGAGCCATCCATGACCTCCCTCTTATCAGCCGCTGACCCTTAACTGCACCCAGAGCTTCATGCAGAGGGTGGTCTGTGTCTGCAGCTACCCTGAGATATGACTTCGCCTGCATCACCTTGTGCCTACCTGCAACCGTCGGCAAACCAAGGATGTATCGCATACACACCACTGGGGTGTCTCTGGTGCAACCCAGAATGACCCGCATAGCCGCGTTCTGTATGCGCTCTAGTTTGTCCATCTGACTCTTTGAGACAGTAAGCAGTCCCAGGCCATAATCCACCACTGACAGGATCAGGTGCTGATATAGTGTGAAAAGCATTCTCTGATCTATGTCAATTGCAGTCATAGTCTTAAGTGCACTAAGTCCTTTTTGGCATCTGGTCACAACACTCTCCACATGGTCCTTAAATGACAGGCTCCTGTCAAATGTAATTCCCAGATACTTCAGTTTGCTCTCTCTGTTGACGTCTCTACCATCTATCGTGAGACTTGGGACATTAGTTTTAACGATTCTGTTGTCCAGAGAACACCACAAAACAGACGCCTTTTCCGGGTGGACGACAGCCTTCATTTCTGTACACCACTCAGTCACTTTGTCTACTGTCGCTTGTAGCTCCCGGGCTGTTTGCTCCCTCTCTTCCCCCTGCCTATATGCAAGTATATCATCCGCAAAAGTGAGTATCCTTCCAACTCCTGGTGCTTCTAGGCTTGCAATCTTGCTCGTATACACGTTGAAGAGCACAGGCGAGATGGCGGATCCCTGTGGCAGTCCTGGGGCCAAAGTGCATGGTTCAGAGGTCCATGAGCCCAGTCGGAGATCAACCCGACGTGAATACAGGACAGCTGCAACCCAATTCACCAGCCATGAATTGACCTCCTTCTCCCTCAGTGCAGTCATTAAGATGTCGCATCTCACTCTGTTATAAGCATCCTCGAGATCCAGTCCTACCGCCATAGTTTCCTGTCTGTTCCGGAACCCTTCATAGACGTCAAAAGCAAAAGTGGCCGCATTTGCCCAAGTGTCCTTTCCTGGCCTGTAACTTCCCAGACGGAGAAGCTTCCACCTTTCCAAAAATTTTTGTAACTTCACAGCAAATATCTTCTCCAAGACCTTCCCAAATGTGTTTTGTAAGGTGATGATTCTAAAGCCACTAAGCTTAGAATGATCTTTAAAAGGTTTTGGTGGTGGGATTAGATAGCTGTGCACCCAGTCTTGCGGTACTGATGCTGTCTTAATACTCTGGTTAAAACAGTCGGCCATCTCCGCCAGGTCTACATCGCTCAAAGTCTTCATGTGACCATACCTGACTCCATCAGGCCCTGGTGCAGTGTCTTTTGCTTTTTTCAAAATTTGTTTGATGAAAAAACAACATGTACTTAGACAGCTAAAATCTCAAAAACAAACAGAGGTATTGAGAAACAGATGGTCGATTCATGAACTTTAAACTTATGTTATTTGTTTGATGAAAAAACAACATGTACTTAGACAGCTAAAATCTCAAAAACAAACAGAGGTATTGAGAAACAGATGGTCGATTCATGAACTTTAAACTTATGTTTAGGGTCAGGTCTAGTTTATTTACTTCAAAGATGTTTTTAAATATTTTTTTTAGAATATTAAAATTTTAGTATGTTGAAAAAATACAAAAATGTTGCTTTTTCCATTTAATAATCACTCAATAAATTGTAATTTCAAATAGACCTGACCCTATAATATTGTGTTAGGAGTATCCACACCAAATTTCACGTCTCTAGTCTTTATATTAGCTGAGATTTTAGGAGATCCCACACACAACACACAGAAAAATAGAATTGTCAGAAAAGTGACTTTTAAACTTTTTTTAATCTTAAAAAAGTGCATGGGTTGGTGTCTTTAGTATTAACTTTTCAATGCTATACTGTTTACCAATTGCACAAATTTTGTGTGTAATCTATTCTACGAATGCCGAACATTACAAAAATGAACACATTGAAAAAGTGATATTTTTGCCATAAATTGGAAAAAAAAATGCCGTGTAGTGACCCCTTAAGGAGTCCCACGGTCTTATGTGGGCCGATGAGGATACAAGCCAAAATTGTAAACCATATTTACTCCTTAAATGTATTAATCAAGTTGTCTATTCTAACTCTCTCTCTCTCTCTCTCTCTCACACACACACACACACACACACACACACACACACACACACACACACATATATATATATATATATATATGCGCTCTCGCGCATTTATCCATACAGTCGTTATTTTCACATTACCTGAAGTTGTCTGGCAACCACTGGTGCGCAGGCGTAATGACAGCTCGTGTAGTACTTAGCGTTGTCGGGGTGCGACGTGAGCGACGACTGGTGACTAGGGCTGGAGGGTTTGGCTCGGTGCCTGCAGATACATGATAATGATTGTTAATGAAAATGGCTGTTAGAATAAAAATGAACACAAAGAAAACAGTGGGATAACAGACCTTTATATATTTTGTGCGAAGGGATGGATGGATTG